ACATCAAAAAGACTTGTGGAAACTTTTATATTTGCACAAGGAGGACTTTGGAAAACTTTCATAGCTACACAAGGATGATTTGAAAAACCTTACCCATTGCACACACCAGTAAACTCAGGGAAACTTTCTTAGTTCCACTGGGATGTCTTGGGTAAGCGTTAACACATGTAGGGTCTCTCTGAAGAGCTACCTATTAGGTGAATTTGCTGAGTTTGCTTGACAACTTAAATGTTGGAGTTATTCCGAGGGCTCGTAGAAACTCAAGCTGTTTAGGAGATGCCCTTATATGTTGTCCCTATTCAGGCTACTAAATGTTTCAGGTGGATTTGCATTGCTGATTAACAATCTCCTAAAGTAATAACTTGCTGAGACATCCTCAGACTGATCCAGGAGCTGTTGCTCCAGTCTAGTTTGGTGATTGAGGAATAAGATGGAGAAGGCATACCATGGTCATACCATAGTTATACCATAGTCATACCATAGATCTACAAGGGGGCACAGGTGGCCCAGTCGTCTAAGGCGCCGCGTTTCGCTGTGCAGAGTTGCGTCCCTTGGGCTCGCCAGGGACCTATGATTGTGGGTTCGGATCCAAGTTCGCCCCGATTATGTTTCTAGGTTTGTCAGCAACAAAACCCATGCTTTCACCGAAGTGGTAAACGTCTGAGACCTGCATCACTTCGGGCTTTCCTCCCACATTAAGCTGACACGCCGTGATATAACTGGAATATTGTTAAAAGGGGCGTGAAACCCAACTCACTCACTCACCATAGATCTACATCTGATTCTGCGCAGGGATACCACGTGGAATCCCTTTCTTGGTGTCCCGAGCCATCAGATGGCTGAAATATTGCTGAGAGTGATGTGATATAAGATCTTACACAAATCTAGGCAAGTTGCACCAGGACAACTAGAAGTCATTATGTTTGACCCGTAAAAGGTGACTATGCGCGTCGTAAAAGGCAACTAACGGGATCGGGTGGTCAGGCTCGCTAACTTGGTTGATGCATGCCATCGAACCCAATTGCGTGGATCGATGCTCATGATATCAATCACTGGATTGTCTGGTCCAGACTCGATTATTTTACAGACCGCCGTCATATAGCTGGAATATTGCTGAGTGCGGCGTTAAACAACAAACCAACCAACCAACCAACCAACCAAACCTAGGCAAGTTGCACCAGGACAACTAGAAGTCATTATGTTTCTTGCCAAAGCTGAATTTAAGTCGGCCAGGCACAACCTCCCTTCTGCAACAGCTTCAACAATGTGTCACCGAGATCCCTTGCTGGCTGAACGTTGCATTGAGTAACACAAGTTATGAAAATTCAATACAAATTGTTATGCCTTGACAGGCGACTGGCAGCCAGCTAACCAGTGATTTTGAAGAATTTCAAAATACCAGAATAATTACTATTAATTCCTCCTCACTCCCTTTTAGAGACTCGTTTCAAATTACAGTGATAGAAAGGGCATCAGCTTCCAACTGCCATCCCTAACACATTTTACCAGAATAAATCGCTCAAGTCAGGGTTCACAATGATCAATTAATTGATCCCTCCCCTTGCAATGCTCATGAATATTCATATTCACTTTCTGTGAAGTAGGAAGTGACAATTTCCGGCAATAACTTTGTTACAAGGCATGCACGATACACAACATAACACATACTAGAATTAATGCTAGCCAAATTATGGGAGCTATTAATCAAAGCGCTATTTCATATTGAGGCCCTGTGAGGGTGTTCTGTTTCGTCAGACATAAATACGTAACAGATCATGTGTGTTTATCTTTTCTGGAATTGGAATATGGACAACTGCTTCCAATCGGGTTTGAGTTGAACTGAGAATTGTCTTTTGTTTCCATTTCTATGAACTAGGTACCAGGCAACCCAAACTGGGCCCCATCTGCAGCTATTATCCGTAACTTATTCATCCAGTACTTAAGAATTACTTTAAGGGTCTTGTTACTTAATTTCCTCCTCTAACACTCTAGGTTGATGAATTTTTTAAAGTTTTTTTTTTAAATGCCTGGTTTGTCATGTAATCAACTGGAAAGCGATTACATGAGATGTTTAGGGAAACTTGTGAAAACTGATATAGCTTGGGCTACAAAAAAAATCGGTATGTTGCAGTTATCAGTCCAGGTTGAGGGTTAAATTTCCTGTGACATATTACAGCCAGGTCCATGGTATTACCAGTTCACCTGGGTGTCCATGGGATGGGGGATATCGATACATGTATCATGCTTTCTCTGTACACGGGTCCAGATGGGGGATTTGAACCATCATCTTCATGTTGATGTTTATGAAACAAAACTAAATCATGTTGTGACATGCTTTCAATAAAAATATTAATTAACTTTTTGGGGGGACTTTTTTTTCACTAACAAACACAAATTGTTTCTTGATTTATGTCATATCATTTTTAATGCAATCCCACCACTACACCAACACACATCAAAACACAACCACACCAACACACCACCACACCACCACACCAACACACCAACACATCAACACACCACCACACCAACACACCAACACACCAACACACATCAAAACACAACCACACCAACACACCAACACACATCAAAACACAACCACACCACCACACCAACACACCACCACACCACCACACCACCACACCAACACACCAACACACATCAAAACACAAACACACCAACACACCAACACACCAACACACATCAAAACACAACCACACCAACACACCAACAAACACCCACACCAACACACCACCACATCAACACACAACCACACCAACACACCACCACACCAACACACCACCACACCAACACACCACCACACCAACACACCAACACACCAACACACCAACAAACACCCACACCAACACATCAACAAACACCCACACCAACACACCACCACATCAACAAACACCCACACCACCACACCAACACACCACCACACCAAAACACAACCACATCAAAACACAACCACACCAACAAACAACCACACCACCACAACCACATCACCACATCACCACATCACCACACCACCACACAACACCAACACACCACCACACCAACAAACACCCACACCAACACACAACCACACCAACACACAACCACACACCCACATCAACACACAACCACACCAACACACCAACACACCAAAACACAACCACATCAAAACACAACCACACCAACAAACAACCACACCACCACAACCACATGACCACACCAACACACCACACCAACACACATCCACACCAACAAACACCCACACCAACACACAACCACACCAAAACACAACCACACCAACAAACAACCACACCAACACAACCACACCAACACACCACACCAACACACCACACCAACAAACAACCACACCACCACAACCACATGACCACACAACCACACCAACAAACACCCACACCAACACACAACCACACCAACAAACAACCACACCACCACAACCACACCAACACACAACCACACCACCACAACCACATTAACACACAACCACACCACCACAACACACCAACACACAACCACACCAACAAACACCCACACCAAAACACAACCACACCAACAAACAACCACACCACCACAACCACACCAACACACAACCACATCAACACACCACACCAACACACCACACCAACAAACAACCACACCACCGGAACCACATTAACACACAACCACACCACACCAACACACAACCACACCAACACACCACACAGCAAAACACAACCACACCAGCAAACAAACAACCACACCACCACAACCACATCAACACACAACCACACCATCCAAACACACAACCACACCAACACACCACCACACCAAAACACAACCACATCAAAACACAACCACACCAACAAACAACCACACCAACAAACAACCACACCACCACAACCACATTAACACACAACCACACCACACCAACACACAACCACACCAACACACCACACAGCAAAACACAACCACACCAACAAACAAACAACCAGACCACCACAACCACAACCACACCAACACTCAACCACACAACCACACCACGTAGGTCACCAAAACTATCTCAACGTTTGAGCTGCGCTCTGCCAACTATTCTGATCTGTTGTCATGAAAACATGAGCCGTAATGGTCTATGTCACCACAACCCAGGGTGACATCATGTCTGCCTGGAAGGTGCTGGAGTTCACATAGAGAGAGAGTGCTATAGAATTACTCATTACTCTTGTATTCATACTCGCCATAAACGTGTTTCCAGATGAGCCTCATCATGTTGCTGAGTATTCAATACATTTGTATTTATAGCAGTTGGCTACACCATCAATTCCAGATGAAGTTTCCGGGCTACAATACTCAACAACAATATTATCACCTGCAAATCTGAAAATACAAGATATCACGTAATTGTTGCAATAGAGAAACTTGTTTCTGCCCACTTCCTGATTCCCTGCCTGTGAATATATAAACTGAAAGAGTCATGTGGTTCACCGCAAATGATTATAAGAAAACAGTGAATGTTGTAAAACACCTGAATATTCAAGCTGTATTACGGCAGCTGATAAACAGACGTGTGGACCACAAAGATTGAGAGGGAGTGAGTGAGTTGGGTTTAACGCTGCTTTTAACAGTATTCCAGTTATATCACGGCGTGTCAGCTTAATGTGGGAGGAAAGCCCGAAGTGATGCAGGTCTCAGACGTTTACCACTTCGGTGAAACCCACGAGCACGGGTATGGTGCTGACAAACCTAGAAACATAATCGTGGCGAACCGGGATTCGAACCCACAATCATAGGTTTCTGGCATGACCAAGGGACGCAACTCTCACGGCGCCTTAGATGACTGGGCCACCCGTGCCCCCACAAAGATTGAGAGTATGATTGTAGTTGACAGACCTGGGATTATTTAGACAGGCTAGGACCCTGGGGACCTATTCGACCTGGGTCTCCATCATGTTATATGGAAATATAGCAAGGTTGTTTGTATTTACTGATGTGTTTCTGTCTTGTTTCAGTCTCATCAGCTGCTGACCTTCTTCTTTGACCACCTCATGCCTGGCAGTCAGCTGGACATCGTCCATCTCAACCCAACATCTGACCGTTCTTAATCCACAACAATTACAAGACATTGCTGCCATAGTTCCCCAAACCAGAGAGTCTTGGTAACATTGGAAAACCTCATTTGTCATGACATCAAGTTTGGTTTCGTGAATATGGAGAAATTCAAGCCAAGATCTTTCTGGAGACCCAAGTGGCAAGGCGAGACTGCTTTTCCCACTTGAGGGGAGATCCTTGAGTCTTAGTCCTTCTTTTAAATGTTGAACCATTTGAGGTAATTTTTAGCGTCTTCTTCAATGTGTAACACATCATCAGATTGTATCCTACACAGGCCATTATGCAATGCAGGGTTAGAAACTAACAGTTTTCGTCCACTAGTCCTTGTAATGATAACATATAGCAAAACCCTTAAAAAGGGCAAATGTCTACTAGTCCTTAGGATACCTTTACCATTGGGCAGTTTGGCAAGGACTACAGGACTAGTGTCATTTTCTAACACTGCAATGTGTTATGACTGCTGATTGGCCAGTAAACCTAAAGGTCATGAAACTAAAACAGAGATCACTCTATGTGAAGTATTATTTTGAAAGCATTAATTTTCAAATTTCAGCCTTGAGGGAAAGGCTAGGAGTGAGTCTAGAAGACAAGCTTTGAGAAGGTTCTTTATTGTCCGTAGGAGAACTAGCCTAGCATAACTTGCATTAGTTAGGAAATGAACAAAGGTTTCAGAAATCATTATGAAAGTTATCAGATGCGTTATTCTTACACTTGCATGTTTTAGACTTCAGAAACATTGTCAGCCATTACGAATTACCAATATTGCCAAGTTTAAAGTAGAAAGACAAGTTCTATGGATAAACAACTTCTATATTACAATTAGTGCGACGTTTTAGTGTAGATCCTAACACCTTTATCCCCTTTATCAAGCAAGTGTTAGGATCTACACCAAAACGTTGCACTAATTGTAATAAAGAAGTTGATCGTCCATAGAACTTGTCGTTCTTCATCACACCAACTTCTAAATGCCACTGAAAGAAATTGCCAAGTTTACCAATAACTGTAATATTTAGCATTTACACTGGCCAAAAATGGCCCTGATCAAACCCTGTCCTTTCAAGTACAATGACAATATGTTATTGATATTAGTCTTCATGAATAATGACTCAGCATGGTCATTGTAAACTATGGTAACATTGTCACATGAGTGCATCTTCACGAGGCAAGAGAGTTAACGGACATTCAAAGTCCAGTTTCCACCCTTGCCGAACTAGGCTGGAATTCCTGGGCTTGATCGTAGCACCACCAGTGGCTATTACCAGTTATGTCCCTTCTAAGCCACTCCTATGGACCAATCAGATTCCACCTCTCGTATCACTTGCGTTTGCTTCACACAAAATGGTGGCGCCCAGTCAGGACGATCTGACCGATATCAAGATCTATATCATGATAAAACGGGTCTTACATCGCGAAATGCATCAAATCACGTGAGCACCTTAATTAAAAACATTATAAGATTTGGAAAATATCTGCTGACAACGAGTTGGCGGTGCACATGCTTTGCAAATCCTGCAATCGACCGAAATCTACACGACAGTTTACGAACCGGATTTCGATTTCGGAGCGAGATTTTGATCGGACTATGCATAGACTCGTTAGTCCAGGCAAAATGTAACTCCATAATACCAGCCTAGTTCAGCAAGGGTGGAAAATGGACTTTTATTGTCAGTTAACTCCCTTGCCTCGGGAAGATGATAGAATGTTGCCATGTCGGCATGCTTGTGTCAGCTTCATCACCTGACAGTACAAGGATGCTTCTGTCTTTGATTGGTGTGTCTTGTCAGTGTGCATATCTCACAAAATAATTGCCTCAAAGTTAATATGTGTGATCCCAGCATTCTTACCAGGCAACCTATTTAGAACACTGTTGTTGTTGTTGCAGTCACCAAGAGTCCACATACATTTATCTATGCTAGATTTGAGATACAGAAACTGTTTACATTGTGTGTTGTAATACCCCTAAATTAAAACATTTGCCTGATTTGGTCAATTTTAAAATAAAAGGGTATGGCAATCAAAGAAAAAATACCTATGAGTTTAAGAAATAATGCTTATCTAAAAAACAACAATGCCACTTCTTCTATTAGCTAATTTTGGGGAAGTGTAATTCCTTGAGACTGGCTTGATGTGAAGGGCCATGACAGATGATGTAGAAATGCAGAGAGATAGGTTCGAAAGTTTTATGTCAATTTTGTGATCCTGTAAATCTGCTCATCAGGTTTAATAGGAACATATACAAAATAGATATTCTGAAATATATATATAAGTCACATTTTATCTGACATGTAAACATCTTATTATCAGTTAATCAAAAAAATTAACTGTTTGGGGGCTACATTTACTATTTCTGTTCTTTGTAATAAATAAGTGGGGCTAAAAGGTCAACCCTGCTGCACACCTCTTTATAGGAAATTCCCATAAAAGCTAAAGCTAATCCAATTGCATTAAGCCATAGTTTACAGAATAAACAGCCATAATGCGAAACTGCATCATTGGTGGTTTGAGAAGGAATTAAACTCCGCTTGCCTAATCGAAAGGTCGAGATGGGCCCACATTCAAAACTAAACGCACCTTTGTAGAGAATATATACTACGTAAACAAACCTGTAATACAAACTACCGGGTACTATTATGTCTAATAAGTATCATGACTTTTTGTTGGATTAGAATGTACAAAAGTGTAGAAACTATAGCTGAACTTCTGGAAACATAGATTGAGTGGTATTGACTCTCAAAATTTAATTTGAAGTAAATTTCATACCGTCACACTAAATAATTCACATTAAAGACATTTCCCATCAATATAACAAAATGACAATGATATATATTGCTACGTATCCATGCAAAATAATTACAAATGTGAGCCCGCTAAATGACTTTGTCAACCCAATGAAGCCTCGTGATTTACAAATGTGGGCCAACCTGTTTCGATCACCAGACATGATGCGATTAGTGTGGGCCCACATTTTTAAAAGTGGTTATCAGTAAATGGAGCTTCGCGATTTTTATAAATGTTGCAATCCTGTTGCAATCACTACAGCAGAAAAAAAAGTCTGCCCACATTTAGAAATTGATTATCAGCACTATGCCAACCTAATGAAGCTTTGCTGTAGGCTTATATAAATGTGGGCCCACTTGTTCTGATCACCACATATTACTGGGAAAAGTAGGCCCACATTTTACAAAATGGTTCTTATCACTAAACCAATCTAAGATGTACAATCTACGCTTAACATATTTCAACTATCGACTTTCTACAATGCGGGCCAACCTGAAGTCATCTCAATTCAGAAAATAAAGTGGGTAAACATTTGGGAAAAACTAATATTTACAAGTTATTCATTTCATTGGCAAACACTGTTTTTAATTTTCTGCAAGTTACAGATGAAAAGATAAATATATAATGCATTCAAACATTTAATTAAAAATACAGTTTACCTTAGGGATTATATGGCCAATTAATAGTTAGACCAACGACAACGTATAGCGTGACTGACGCCATTTTTCGCAGATACTAGAAGAACAGAGATAGCTCCCGATTGAAATAAGAATAACTCCCCTTTCCCAATATGAAACTCTGATAACGTAGCGTGGCCATGAATCATTAGCTCTCCTGTGAAAGGATGTTATGAAACAAAATACAGTTAGTGTCGGAGATCGTAATTTGATACAACGTAATATCAAAGACATGGCAGTTCACATTAATTTCTCATATTTGTTTTTATATTGAGATCAGAACTTGCATTATTGTTCTGATATCTTGATAAATTATTCTACATTGTGTTCTAAAAGTAATCAAATCAAATAAAGATCATAACATCGTTCAATATCATGACAACATCTAGAAAGTGATATTTTGACATATATACACCATGCTATTAGTTGTTAAAGGTTGGATTTGATATTTAACAATATTGATTGAACTCGGGGCCACTTGAGATATTGAATTAGTTTCAATTGCCTTGTTGTATGTGTGTGGGCGGTCGGGTAGCCTAGTGGTTAAAGCGCTAGCTCGTCACGCCGAAGACCCGGGTTCGATTCCCGACATGGGTACATTGTGTGAAGCCCATTTCTGGTGTCCCCCGCCGTGATATTGCTGGAATATTGCTAAAAGCGGCGTAAAATCTCACTCACTTGTTGTATGTAATACCGTATTCGACGTAATAAGCGCCCTGCTCTAATAAGCGCCCACGGCTATATTTGCTGATACATTGGCTAGTGAACAATCCCAATTAGCACCCCATCCGTTTGAACAATGTTCACAAGACTTATTTTTTCGTGTTTAATACGCACTTGTGTGTTATATGCACCCTTAATTATGGGCAATTAAATTCTGGAAAAATATTTGTCGTACATAAATATTTCAGGCATAAACCACGAAATATATCTTTCAACTCTGTTTTTTTTTAACCAAAATGATATTCTAATAAGAGCCCCCTATTTCTAATTTTGAGAGTGCCCTGGGCGCTTATTACGTCAAATACGGTAAGTATACCTTAGGCTATTTGATAGATGAAAGGTGTAAAACCCTTCTTACTTCCAGTAATCATGTGATGCTTGTAGAGACATTAAGCGAATTCATTTTGCCATAGGACTCTTAACTCAATATTACTCTTCAGATGCATTGGTTGTGTGATGGATTTCTCCGTAGGCTGAATGTTTGATATTTTCTTCCATTCCATAAGTGTCAAGTATCCCAAATGAAATTAATTTGTTAATATGCAGAAATGTTTTCCTAGGATAATTTGTTTCTGAAATTATTGCTTACCCAGGCTTTTGTATTTTTCAAAACTTTTTTTGTGGCTTATTTGTTATTAGATTGTTATCTCTAAAACTTATTAGTTTATATAAAGGATCAAATATGCCCTTTAAGCAAAGTAATGATTTGATGAATTTCTTTGAAGAAGTTGTGCAGTTCTTTAAAATATTGTTGGAAAATATTTACCTGAGGAAAAGTTTACAGTTTACAGTAGGATTTTCATTGAAGGTTCAAAAGCCAATAACATGTACAAACCACACTGTATTTGGTGTATTTGGGATATGAAGTTTATTAAACCCCGACCTAAATGTCATTGGTATGTAGTTATGCCAAGGAATTGCGTCCATCCATTCTTCTCAGGACATTCATGTGTGACCTATAACTTGAGAACTACTGCATAGATTCTTTTCAAACTTGGTGAACGCTTTCTGTACCAATAGGAGATGTGCAGTGTGAGGTTTGATTTCAATATTTGGATTTTCAGAAAAAATACCGATATTTTCCTTTTTTGATTGTGATTGGTCTATGCATAGACTCCTTACTCCAGCCAAAATGTAACTCCATAATACCAGCCTTTATTTCGGCAAGGGTGGAAACCGGTCTTTTATAGTCTCTTGCCTCAGGAAGATGCCCATTACAACACCTGCATAATGATAGCTTTGAATAGTTGAGCTTCATAGATCAAGCCCTTGGAAAATCCTGGTAGAATAGGCCCCCAGTACTCATTCTTATCATAACAGTACAATGAGTCATTTGGATGGTATAGTGTGTGATCTAGCTGATTCTGTATCACTGTATCACTGTACCCCAAGGGCAGGGATTGTTGCCTGTGCTTTCAACCACTTGTTTGAGTGGCCAAGACCTGGGCCCACTTGCACAAAGCGATCTTAGCGCTACGACTATTGTATGCCTATGTTAAAGTATGGGAGTTACCATCATCTTAGCGCTAAGATTGTTTTGTGCAAGTAGGCCCTGGTTATTTCCAGGCCGAAGTAATATAGGTGATATCTTGCCGACTGTGGCTTCAACAGCATGGACACACTGAGAGTTCTGGGAGGAATATGAAGTATTGGCTTGCGAAGCAAAGCATCGCCAGTGGGGTCTCAACTTGCCTTGACTGTGTGTTAGAACATGTACATAACATATTAGGAGTGTTTGCAAGACAGATACTGGGATTTACCTGCGATTCCAAGCTAAGGCCCCTTGCAGGGAAACTGGGAAAAACCTGTTTCTTTGAAAATTAGGAGTTTTGTAAAAGTATTTTCTTAAATTAGTTGGTATTTTACATTGCATTCAAGGCAATAGTGTAAACCTACTATAGAGGCGACTAACGGGATCAGGTGGTCAGGCTTGCTGACTTTGTTGATGCATGTCATCGATTCCAATTTGTGTGGATCGATGCTCATTATATCAATCACTGGATTGTCTGGTCCAGATTCGATTATTTAAAGACCGCCGTCATATAGCTGGAATATTGCTGAGTGCGGCGTTAAACAACAAACAAAC